TTTTTTTTTGGTGGGGGAGTATAACACCTCCCGTCATCTATTCTGGGTGCAGGGAGGTTCCCCTCAGCCTGGGTGTACCCGCTGCAGAGGGGCCCCTCTCTCTCTCTCTTCTCTCTCTCTCTCTCTCTACATCTCTATATGTAGGTCTCTCGCCCCTCGCTCGCTCTCCTCCTCCACCCTTCCTGTACGTGCAGCTGAGCAGTTGCCAGATGCCAGCCAACTTAACCGAGCACCCAGGAGCCCTTTGTCCCTGAGTCACCTCCCACCTACACTTTTTTTTTTTTTTGCAATTCTTTTCTTCTTTTTTTATTATTATATGTATGTATGTGGGTTTTTTATTTTTTGATGTGGTGGTTGCAGCACAGGAGACAGGAGGAAGTGGGAAAACTGTGACATCATGGGTAATTATATGGGTGGTGCGCGCCTTCATTCCCAACGGAGGGAAAAAGAAGAAGAAGAGAAGGAAGAAGAAGAACCTGGGCTGTGTAATAGACACCCAGGAGTTCACTGAGTTGCTAGTGGTGGTGGTGGTGGTGGTGCGTTCAAGTCGGGTCGGTGGGAAACATTTGCATGTTTACGACAAGCGAAGCCGCCTTGTGCTGCTGCTTCTGGTTCATCAGCATACAATCAATTAACACTAACAAGATGATAATGTGTCACCACCTAATTGGAAAACTCTTTACTGCAAATATTATTGAGTCTAAATGTGGATTCAAATTTTTGTTTTGTGCGACTCTTCGTTTACCAGAACCTCTGCAACGGGGAGTTTGCGATAGGGACACAACACTAATGGGAAAAATGTATCTTTTGACAGCTGAGCGAAGTTGATGCTAATTTAGACTTTCAAATTTGAGATTAAATCTCAACAGAAAAAAGTAGAGACTGACTGTAGCTTTTACTTCCTGTTTGTTTCCAAGTAGCGTGCAAATTATATAAATGCATATTTACATTAGACCTGCAGCGATTAGTTGATGAACTGATTAGTGGTCTACTAATAAATCAATCAACAACTGGATTAATTGGTCTGAGTAATTTTTTAAGACCAAAAAAACCGTAAATTTTCTGATTTTAGCTTCTTAAAGTTGAATATTTTTCTGGTTTCTTTCTATTTCAAGCACAGCAACAGTAAACTGAACATCTTATCTTTGGGTTGTTGACAAAACTAGACTTGTGTGGTCGTCATCTTGGAGTTTTGGAAAACACTGACATTTTATAGACCATACTACTGATGGATTAACTGAGAAAATAATCAACAGATCAATTGATAATGGAAATAAGCAGCTCATATGGTGCCACCACTTGGTCAATGGAGCCTCCCAGATGTACAAGAAGATACTTTTTAAACAATCTTGTTGGCCATCACATCAACAATACACATAAAGGCATTTTATTTGATAGCAACACTCTGAAATCTTGAGGCCAATCAGCTGGACCTATTTGGATTCCCAGTTGATTTTAAGTTGCTGTGATAAGTAGAGGACATTTTGAAGTTTTTATGTTGTTGGCTATAAAATCAAACATTATGGGAGCTGAACTGAAGTCTTTGACCAAACCATGAGCACATATGGAGTCCTGTCTCATATTTTCGAACTGGTGCATGCATACATACATGTTTACCTAGTTGTAGTGGTGTCCTCATGTTGCACAACGACAGATATTTTAAACATTTTATAACCGTCGCAGATTTCCGACCCCTCCTCCGTAATCAGATAAAACTTGTAACTTGAGCCCTCTAAAAGTGCGATCACAGAGTCAGCGGTAAAAACCTGTTTCCTGCTCTTGAGAAACCACCACAGCTGAATTTATGTTTCTGAAAGAAGTGAAAGTTGGAAACCGTTTTGTTTTTGGAGATGTCAGGCTAGGACAAAGTTTATCAGTGAGAGTTTTCTGGATGAAAAATGGTGCCAATGTTTCCCTTCACTGCTGTTTTAAAGGATATTGTTCGTGTTTTTTAATATTTGATTTTGGTTTTCTGCTCGTTGGTCCCTGTTTGTTGTGGACTCTGATTCTGACTTTTGTCATATCTGAGTGAGAGAGAAAAAGGAAATATTTTTAAAAAACCAAACGCGCTTCACATTCAGCACATTCAGGCTCCTGTTGACCTCTGACCTCCTGATCATCCTCAGGTCGACGGTGGGGACGGACGGACGACGGCGGCCATGGAGCAGAAGCCGTGCGTCGAATACCATGACCTGGAGGCCGCCGAGGCTCTCGTCAGCATGAGTTTCTGGGGTCAAAGGTTGCACAAGCCCCGCCCACTGACCCCCACCTCCGACTCCTGTGACTCCATCCAGCTCCACCCGGAGGGAGGAGATGCCCCCAAAGACCTGATCGCCCTGTCCTCCCTGGTGAGACTCACTTCTACATCTACACTCTCAAAGCACTTAAAATGGAAAATGATCAAAACAACATAAAGGAAAAAGAAGTTTTCAGTTCCATTGATGTAGAAGCCAAGAGCCAGTTGGATGCATTTTCAGAAAACCATTTGGGATCCCAAATGATTTTGAAGTTCCCTTGAAAACAAGATGCCATTTGTTCATTTCATAATTTATCAACCTTCTGGTCACCAAAACAATAAAACTAAATGAAAGAACCAATCAGAACACATCTTGTATGCACAGTTACTGGGAAAAGACGAACTGAATCATACTAATTATTTTGACACAATTTGTTTTTTTTTTAAAATTTAAAAATCATGTGCAGCGCATATTTGGCATCCCGACTCAAAGTTGCTTGGGGGGGGACAGGGATAAAAAAAGAAATAATTGTTCATCACAGTATGTATCAAACAAAAATACTAAATGACACAGAAACATCTTCTGAAGCATGAGAGAACTCAGTAGGAAACATTTGGAATCCCAATTCAGCGGTTCATTTCAGTTCATGCCATAATTTGGTATTAAAAGACAAACATTGACCTTGTTAACTGTCGAGGGGGATAAAAGATTTTTTGAAATACAAGAAAAGCATCCATAAAGAGCTCAGTTTTTTTTGCAGAGCACATCCAAGTTCTTCAGTATTTATTTACATTTGGGATCCCTGAAGAAAAACAACAAATCGCTAATAGTTAATTGCAAGCTGCAGCTCAACACTGAACTTCTTTTATTGTTATTCTCTCCCTCAGTGTATGACTCCACCTCACAGTCCAAGTTTCGCTGAGGCCTCCACCACGGCTGTCCTCACCACCACCACCTCCTCCTCTCTGAGCCCCACCACCAGACAGGTCATGTCCCGCCCCAGCCTCGCTGTCTACCCCACCCTCATCAGCGACTCCCACACCTGCCTCCCCCAGCCCTCCTCCTCCCCCGTCACCTCAGAGACCTCAGCACTTCCACCTTACACAGAGTCGTCCTGCGTGGCTCCGCCTGGCAGAGCGATGGCCACCAGCGTCATCCGCCACACCGCCGACAGCCTCAGCCTTCCTACGCCTCCACCTGCCAACCAGCCAACAGAAACCTCCATGTCACCTCTTCCGGGAACTCCAGAGACACCTCCAGCGGAGAAGGTTTTACCTCCTCCATCTCCTGAAATCCCGTCCTCTCCTCCCTCCGCAGCGTCTCCTCCTCACTCCGCCCCGCTGTCTTCCTCTACGGTCTCCTCCTCTCCGGTCCTCTGCCAGGTTTTCCCAGTGAGCAGCCGGACGGGGATGATCTCAGCCTTCGTTCAGGCTCCGGTTCAGGTGCAGACTCAGGGGGGACCCAAACCCATCCTGCCCCAGTCTCCTGCTTCCAGCTTCGCTCAGCCTCTGTTGGTGGGCTCCGCCGTGCCGCAGGGCACCGTGATGTTCGTGGTGCCCCAGCCACCCGTCTCCCAGACATCGCAGGGCCCGCAGACTGTCATGACCCTGGGCAACACCAAGCTCCTTCCCCTGGCCCCGGCTCCAGTTTATATGCCGTCAGGAGCAAGCAGCGGCGCCTCGCAGGCCGACTTCTCCCGCAGGCGAAACTACGTTTGCACCTTCCCCGGCTGCAAGAAGACCTACTTTAAGAGTTCACACCTGAAGGCTCACCTGCGCACACATACAGGTACGAGTCAGTCACCTGACCACAGAAACAACCACAGCTCACCCATCAGCCAGAATCACTCTGGATTGATGTCTGCCAACTCACTAATAACACTTAACTCCAGAGAGTGTAAACCAATCACGTATACCTGAGATATATTCATGGATTGGTGCTTTATGTAACATTTAGGCAACACAAGTCAATATTGTTTTTCTAAAACTGCTAATGTGAACTCGTGAAGGGAAACACAAGACATACTGCAGAAAGCTTGTCTGCTTCAGCCCATACTTTTAGTTTTTCCAAATAGTTTCAAACGTAGCTCTGATTCCTCCGTGGTTCTACGTTCTAACACTCCTGCCATCTTCCTCTGCAGGTGAAAAGCCGTTCAGCTGTCACTGGGAGGGCTGCGACAAAAAGTTTGCCCGCTCCGACGAGCTCTCCCGCCACCGCCGAACGCACACTGGCGAGAAGAAGTTCGTCTGCACCGTGTGCGACCGGCGCTTCATGCGCAGCGACCACTTGACCAAACACGCCCGGCGGCACATGACCACCAAAAGGGCGTCATCATGGCCCACCGAAACCCGAGACCTCAGCAAGGGCGCCCTGAACAAGGGCCAAAACAGGGGCCCCGCGCTTCCTGTCAGTATGTTGGTCCCCACCGCCAACTAACAGACTCACAGAGCCCACAGGGCCAACTCAGGACCCCGGGGGGGGATGAAACGACCGCCAACCGGACTCTCAAAGTAAAAATGTGTGGTTGTTTCAATCAGCTCCACCAGCCACATCAGGACGATGTTTTCTACTCTACCCGTCATCGGGCCCCGGCTACGTTTACAAGACTCTCAGAACAGGGTCAGAAAAACCTGGGGAAATCAGATTAGGAATTTCTTGTTAAGATGGCCGTCCTACTGAGTGTTCAAGTACTCGGATCCTTTAATCAAGTAAAAGTACTTTGTATTCATGCCACAGTAATTAAATGATTAAGAGTATTTGTATAAGATCCGAGTGCTGCCATTGTCTGGTTAATATCATATATCACGTAGACGGAGCTGACAGCTGAGGACAGCGAGTTTCCCGCCCTGCTCAGGACATTTTATTCCCATGAACCACAAACTCACCGCTGGAGGACATGAAGGCGGCAGGCTGCTATTCATTCACAGACAGAAACCAACAAAAACCTGACATTGCACTGGATTTTTTTAATCTTGCTTGTTTTTGTACTCTCTCCGTGTATAATCATGTTTACTTCATGTGTACATGTCACGTTTAGCAAAATGTATGCACTCTTTCTATTGTTTGCCAAAGCCTCTGTATCGTGCTTCTGTTATTAGCCTACTTCTGTTTATTTGTCTGACTGTAAATATTGTAAATATATTGATATCTATATGAATGTTACGTGTATTCCAATCTGCATTTATTGACAGTACGAGTTATTGATATTTTAAAAACGTCAGTGGACAGTATTCATCACTGTGATACTACCTACTATCTTTGCTTTACACATTATTATTATTATTTAATAAACATTTGTTGAGGAAAAAGTGCTGTTTTTGATAGCTTGATTTGGCCCATAGTGTAGCCAGTAAGAAAATACCTCATGTTATTAAATGTTATTCTTAATAATAACAGCTTATATCGGAATAATCCCATTTCTGAACATTTGCCTGTAAGCGATGGTAAAGAATATGGCTTTTATAATAAAACCTTACCACAAAAATCAGAGCTGCTTTGTTGTTGGTCTGTTAGCGGCTAAGTTTGAGGAAAATTAAACGTTTTGAGTCTGATGTTAGATTTCATGTGCATTTTTAACTTTGCTAACATGATAAATTAGCAGGTTAACCCAGACTAAGGTCTATTTTCTGTTTATCAAAACTAAATTATCCCATTTTATGGGACTGTGAAGGAATAGTTCAACCGTCCACAGTTAGATGTGAAGATATTGTCACCTGTCTGTTCAGGACAGAGCAGCAGTGAGGTTGCTGTTAGCCTGAAAGCAACTAAAGGTAAAGACCTAGCTTTGGCTTTATAATGACCTCAAAAGACATGCCTACCAACACCTTTAAAGCCTCCAGGTTTTAAATTAGATTTTGAATCAGTACACAACTAGCTGTTAAAAAAAATAAACAAACAAAAAAAACCCTGGGTATTATGTTTCTTCATGCTAAGCTAGGCTAACAAACCACATCCTGAGTCAAACATGAACACAGACATGAAGCTTCCCAATCAGGATAAGGCAAAAGAATACATTTCCAAAATGCTTTCCTGTTCCTTTAAGTATACTACACAGAGCAGAGGCCACATATTTATCCTGTCATATTCATAGAACTTGATTAATTAGTATTTTTTTAAATAAATTTGTGCCACCAAAGTACAATATTAACTATACTGGGTTTTAACACCTGGACAAGTTTATTTTGAGCTTATTGGTTGCAGGTTTTTCCAACTGTGTGCACTACCACACAGAAAATCTGGGGAAAGTCAGTAAGTATTATTTTGACTTTCAATACATCTGTCAGATATTTTATTGAACCAACTGACTGATCAGTGTAAAAAAGGTCAGACTATCTAGGCCGTTTTCTAACACAGGAGCTTGTAGAAGATTTCAGAGTGGGACATACCTTTGTGTGTTCAGACTGCCAGAACCGTCCCCCGTAGTATCTCCTTCAGGGCATTTTTCAGGAGAGAAAAACTAAGCTGCCCACAAATACAGCTGTGTCAGTCCAGAGACTGATTGGTAAAACTCAAAGAGGACAAGAAGAGTCACTTTTTCTTCCCTTTTGATGTCTTCATCAAGTAGCGGTGTTCTCCATTCAAACATCAAAAATGTAAAACTCACCATACGGGCTAATATAACAGACCTCCATTGTTCTATTTCAGACTCAGACTTAACATCGAGATCAAAGCTGGTGGGTCAACTCTGCAATAAGAGGCTGAATGGGGCAGTTAAAGAACCGCTCCTCTAAATGTTGGGGGTACCTCACACCTGCCCCAAGCTCCTGTAGAGTTGTCAAAAATGCAAAGATTGTGACTTTAGGAAATAGATGAAATAGCAAACAGCAAGTCTAATCAACCATCAAAACATTTTGCAACACACACAAAAAAACCTGATCTTCTCATCAGCAATAGAGTATGGTCCGGGTCTGGGCGCCTGGAGAAATAATCAAAGACCTGTATACTCTAGGGGTCAGTAGGGGCCCCAGGAACACTTCTCGACCCCAGGGCCTGCCAGGACACTGTGCCGGCCATTTACAAATTATGAGGCAAGAGTACATGGACACAAAGATTGAGAAAAGATTGCACAGTTTTTGGTCATTTGATTCTCTTTATTGTCATTTACTCGATTATTTAAGAAGTTTTACCATTTCCAACAGTTCAGTTTAAGTATCCATGAACTGAGAGATAAATGATTACCTTTAAAATAATAATAATAAAAAACGAAACCGCATAAATTCTTCTATTTGTTTTTTTCTCAGCAGCTTGAATGTGGGGCTTAATTGTCTACTAAAAGTCGCGTACTCGGCGCTGTGCGACAGAAAAGGAGGTTAATTCGGTTTTCCAGGCTGCAGTGCTTTATATAAACACATACATTGTCCCGTATATGAAGTTTCTGCTCGACGACAGCGGGGCTCTTACGTGTGGAGTTATACAACCGGAGCTCCGCCGCTCTCTCTCCCCACACCACCCGGTAACAACCATCAGCCAATCCCAAGGCAGCACCGAGGGGGTGTGACCAATGGGAGAGCACGACGTTGTGCCGGGAACGTGAGAAGGGCGCGCCATTGGCCAGCGAGGTCCCCGCCCACTTGCCTTACTGACCGACATTCAGAAGGAGCCAAAGAAAACCAGCAAAAATAAATTTAAAAAAAAGAAACACACTGGAGTCTGGTGGGGCGATGTGAGCGGGACAACAGGGACATCATGTGGCCTCGTGGTAGGACTACAACTCACTTTGAAAATGAACGCTATTTAAACATGTTTAAATATTGAGTTCAGGATCCTACAATGATGTGAATTTTTGATTGATTTGAATTTCAAGGATTAAAACTATCTGTGTGTATATAAGGGAGACTAAACAACTGCTCCACAAGTGAATAGCACAGCACCTGAGAACAAACTTGTCAGGCCAAGACACAGCAGTCTGCCTACATCTGAAGGATGAGAGACACTCCTTAAAGTAAAGTCATTACTAAATAGAGAAGAGAGATGGTTCGAGACAGGACTGAAGTAATCCATCTATGTTAAACTTGAAGAACGATCTCAAAACAGAGGAGTTTGTACAACACCACTTATGAGGTACTTATTGTGCAGTCTTGAGATCCTTCCACAGCTAGTTTCACAACCGTTTGCACAACCCTGCTTTCTAATGGAAGGACATTTATAATATTGGATGCTAAAGTCTAAACAGTAATATCCATCTTTCTTAATAGTTTGTGCAATATCAGGTTCAGTATCAAGTGTAACCGTTTAATTCCATTATCACGTTCAATAATACTTTAGTAAATCAGTATCATTGCCGGTATTACCTCAGAATCAGAATCAGATTTATTGCCATGTATAGTTCACACAATACGAGGAATTTATTCTGGTGGGTTGGTGCAACAAAACAGCAATAAGTAGAGAGTAAACAATAAATATACAGTAAAATAAAGTAACGAGAAATAAAAATAACTGTAATAGTGCAAAGAATCAAAGTTAAATTTAAATAAGAACCATAGAACAGTAGTGTTATTCCTTCCTTCTGAAGTCACTTCTTACTTACTACTACTTATCTAATCTAGTATTATGTAAGATTACTTTCACATTTCTTTTTAGTAATGTACTTGTATGTTATTGTTTTTTATTAGGCATTGCATTTATTGTTGTTACTTTATTTTTTATTTTTTTATTTTTTTATTTTTGACAATATCTGACACGAGAATTTCCTTCAGATTATGGAAGTTCTATTTCATCTTTTCTTATTTTATACCTTGAGGCGTGTAAGTTTTGATTTGTCAGTAGACTATCAGCCGTGGGTTTAAGATGAGGATAAATACCTGTGACTCCCCTTCAGTCAGTTAGAACGCAAGAATTGTCATTGATAAAGGTGAAAAGTCTTTAAGAACCCCTTTAAGAAAAGTTTTCACTGAGGTTTTCATGAGTTATATTGCAGATAACCATCCCGGCCTCCAGGGGGCGACTCTGCCAGGTAACAGTTGGTGTTGTTGTCTTCAGTAGCAACCAATCAGAGAGCTTCCTCCCGGAAACAGCTGATAAGTCACCTCCGCCTGTTTAGAGGGGAAAATGAAGCTGTTATTATCTTCGTTATTCGCGCTTCAAAAGCTGAAACCTGATCACATCAAAGGTACCACTCATTCAGATGATCAGAGACAGAAAAATACAATAATTCAGTATTTAAATAAGAGTTTAGTAAATCCAAGTGACGACGAAGAAACCGACCAATACAACAGGGACGTGTTCTATTGTCTGACATGTTGTCAGATTGTATGTTGAAACCGTAAATGTCAGCGTTAGTTCTCATATATGTAAACATGCACGACACATTCAGGTGAACAGTTGTTGTAATATGTTGTGTTTTGAAGGAGTTTTGGCGCTAAATTGCCATGGTGACAACGCCTCGACATTAAAGTAAACAACAAAAAGCGCGGCAGCGGGAAACAAACCACATATTAACACTTTAAACACCGCCATGTACGATTGTCGGGTTGTTGTTGCGTTTTAATAGGAGGTTAAATACAAGCAGGTTGATATCAGACACTTTTCGATATTGAACAGCAATAAAACAAGTTATTAAAGCAGCAACACAGCAACATATTATCGGTTCATGATGAATTCGATCCAGTTTGAGTGAATATAAGCAGCTGTGAAATCCCGAGTTAATAAATATCCAGATCCGTATCCGTTTATATGCCGGTTCAACTCTGCTATATTAATTTAAATGCACATTAATGCTTTTTACAAGCTTATATCTCATTGCGGAAGTCAGTTTACTTTTGGCGATTTCAACGATACTTTAACTTTATGTCAATATTTTATAATCACCGTTTTAATGCAGAATAATGTGTGTTATTGTTAAGATCTGAAACGTTTTGTAAGCGCCCATTGTTAGTAGTTTTGTAACAGCCGCTGTGCTCAGTTTTGTAACCCCGCACTAACAAAGGCGTTTGAATTTCCCGCAGTCATTTTGGAGTCACGTGATTATGTCTCTCGTTCTGATTGGTTGCGTCGTTGCCTCCGTTTAAAGGGACGGTACGAGCTGCGCTCCCATTGGCCGGCTGCGTTCTACCGCCAAGATTTCAATAAAAAGGCGAGCGGCCACAAGAAACCGCTTCAGTCTGTCTCTCCGTCTGTCTGCTGCTAGTTAGTTAGTGTAGCTTTCTCTTGCTTTTTACTCTACTTTTAGTTCCTTAACTTATTTTTTATTTATTCTTCGTGTCCGTGTCAACCAGGCAGCCACCATGCTCTCCACTCGCCCTCCTCTCTCCGACCTCAACGAGAAAACCGTCAGCGGTCAGATGAGCGACATGTCGCTGGACAAAGAAAACACGGTGAGAGCAGGAATCAGTAAATATCGATAAGTGGAGCTTCAGGAGCCGTTTACACGCTCAGCTGTCCGTCTGTAGACCAACACGACGCTGCTGTTTACCGCAAACTCACTGCGGACATTTTCTCCTCAGCTCAGCCTGACTGACCCACATTCAGCCGGTGTTTGAGCTCGTTGACCT